CTTTGGATCCTATGCCCAGATTTGTGAACATTTACATAATAGGTAATAAAGGCTGTGAAGAAAGGCAGACAAGAACCCATGACATACTCAACCCTTTACCAGTTTCCCAGGTAACCTTATTATACATGAGTGGAAGAACTCAGCCCTGAAGTACACTCCTGGTAATATTTCTGACTCAAGCACTTCAGAGCCAGCTCAGTGCTCATGAGTATCTAGACAGCTCGCCTGTGTCAGGCTTCCTGCCATCTGATTAAAGTAGCATAAGTGAGTCATACTTCATAAGCCATGGGAAGGCCAAGTGTTGGGTAGCCATGGAAAATAAACTAATCATTCAGAGGCCAGCTGTTTCATAAACCCACAAGGAATGAAGGACGACAGTATTTATTGGAAGCAACCACTTCTGTTCTTTTGTATGCTGTCAGTGGTAGATGTACACAATCTAAGCTTGGAAAGGATCGGAGCTATTATCTCATTTGATCACTAGACATTCAAATAGTCACCGTATTAACCAGCTCAGTGATCTCAAATCTGGCCAACATGACAATATCCTGGGACTGTTTGTGTTTTATTTTGTTGTCAAATCCTCTTGGGCCTCAGCTCAGCTCTGTGACACTAAAATCTCTAGGAGTGGTAAAAAGGAAGGAAGGTAGGGAGGGAGGAAGGGAGGAAGGGAGGGAGGGAGGGAGGGAGGAGAGGGAGGGAGGAAAGTCTAAATCACAGCTGTACTTTCCATCTTTAGGAAGCTTTTTTTTTTTTTCGGGTCGATTGTGGGGCTTGAACTCTGGGCTGGGTGCTGTCCCTCAGCTCTTCAGCTCAAGGCTAGTGATCTACCACTTGAGCTATAACATCACTTCTGGTTCTCTGGTGGTTTATTGGAGATAAGAGTTTCCTGGACTTTCCTGCCCAGATTGGCTCTGAACCACGATCCTCAGATCTCAGCCTCCTTAGTAGCGAGGATTACAGGTGGGAGCCACCAGCAACAGGCTGGGAAGCTTTTTAAACTGTCTTATGACATTGTCATAAAATGGTCCATATAACTTCCAATCATGGGTTCTAGTTCAAAGATCTCTTTTATTTGCTCCGAGCTAGATGGCTCCAACCTTTCCACTGCCGAGCACTTAACATACTATTGAGACATGTCCCTCACTTGACTCGATTCTCCACACATGCTTGATGGTTAAGTTTCCCACAACCCAGAAGAAGCACAACGTTCCAGTACAGAGTAGAGCTGGGAAAGAACGCTCCCTCCAAGCCACAACTTTGGTTACCATGAGAGTTACTCAATATTCTGGCCTCTCCTGAGCTAGATGGAATGCTGCTTGGCAATCATTTTGCCTTTCTCTGGTCAGATTTCTCTCCTAGTCACCATAGACTCTGTCCAAAGTCTTTGTCTATTTAAATCCAATCCCCATCTCCGGATTTCCTCTTAGATGAGAATGCCATCCTCATAATCCTTAGAGAAGGGATGGGCTTATTGTGTCCCAACCCGCCAAATTCATTTCCGAGTGCAACACATAATAGCAAACTATTGGAACCACATGCATCAGAGACCTTATCACATATCCTTCATATCTATTTTCACTGGAGATGCAAGGCACAGAACAATCAAGGTCACAGACAACAAGGGAAAAGCCCAAAAGTCCCTGAGTAGTTGCACAAAAACTTGGAAGCACAGAGGTTATCTGCAAGTCAGATTCCTGATTCACTCCACACGGCCATGAGAGCTTCACTGTGACCGCTCTGCTTCAGACTCACTCATAGAGAATTGTAGGACTTCTGTGAGATTCTAGTTTCATTTACCACAAATTCCTCTAAGCCATGGACATCCTATGCAGGGCATTCTAGAGAGAGAATTCTCCTAGAAAGCCTCATTAGGCTACTTAGCTGAGGGACCAGTTTCTATGTATAAAAAGATGAGCTTGGGTGAACTGCCTTCTTTTCTTTCCCTGGGAAGTACATCCTTGTTTCCAGAGGAGTAATAAGACATAGGCAGCTCCTTTTACCTTCTTCCTCCCAACATCTACACTCAACTTGCTCTTGTCAAAGAGTAGTAATACCTGCTTTACATCATTCAAGTGCTCTGAATGTCATTCTCTCTATTCTTTTGATTATGTCCTCTGACATAGCTGTTTCTTCATTTTACTGTCTTTGCTTTATACTTTATGTTAGAGCATTTAATATGTTCCTACCTAGCTGGGTGCCAGGGACTCACACTTGTAATCCTAACTACTCGGGAGGCTGAGATCTGAGGATTGCTATTCAAAGCCAGCCCGGACAGGAATGTCCATGAGACTCTTTTATTCAATTAATCACCAGAAAACTGGAAGAGGTGCTGTGGCTCAAGTGGTAGGCCACTAGCCTTGAGCTAAAGAGCTCAGAGACAGGGCCCAGGCCCAGAGTTCAAGACCCATGACCAACAAAAATAGAAAAAAAAATGTTCCTACCTACCAGAATCTTCTCTGTACCATAGAAACATACTCTCTGCTCTTAAAAAAAATTCCTTAATAACTGGGTGCCAGGGGCTCATGCCTGTAATCCTAGCTATTGAGGATGCTGAGATATGAGGATCACAGTTCAAACCAGCCCAGGAAGAAAAGCCATGAGACTCTTATCTCCAATTAACCACCAGAAAACCAGAAGTGATGCTGTGGCTCAAGTGGTAGAGAGCTCGCCTTGAGCTGAAGAGCGCAAGGATAAGTGCCCAAGCCCAGAGTTCAAGCCCCACGACGGACAAAAAAAATCATTAATAAATTACTATCCCAGAGATATCTAATATCTACTACATATTTACCTTTACAACTAAAATTCTTATCACTTGCTTAGACATAAAAATTACTTTTACTTCTAATACGGGGCATTTGCATCTTGCCCAAGCTACCTACAACATTTTAGCTGCTTCCTGAATATGTCCATCTGTATGTCCTATAAGCAATTGAAACTTAAAATAACCCAAATTAAAATTATCATCATCAGCTTCTATTTGCCAGCATGTTTCCATGTCTTTGAGTGAGTAGAACACATATGTACCTAGACACCCCAACTGAAAACTCATGCAAAACCTTCCTTTTGTCCCACCCAGAGTGGCATCCACTCAGTCAGCAAGTGTTATTTATATGTTATTATGCAAATCCATTTTCCTCCACTGCCCCCATAAAACTACATGCACTGACCACTACTTTATCATGTGAACTCACTCATTCAATATTACATCAAGTCATAGGCAGACCACATTTCTCCTTATCTTCTGTCATCATAAGAAATCTCAAATCCACGGGGCTGGGAAGGTGGCTCAGTGGTAAAGCACTTGCCTTGCATGCCTGAGGCCCTGGGTTCGATTCCCCAGCACCACATAAGCAAAAAGAAAAAAGCCGGAAGTGGTGCTATGGCTCAAGTGGTAGAGCGCTAGCCTTGAGCTGAAGAGCTGAGGGACAGCGCCCAGGCTCAGAGTTCAGGCCCCATGACCGGACCCAAAAAAAAAAAAAGAAATCTCAAATACTGAAGTCAGGATACACACAACCAAACACATGTTTCTTATGTGTTGGTTTAGAACTTTGTTAGTGAAGGAAATGAAGCAGTGTAATGATGTGATTTACTCTGTGACATACCGAACCCTGCATGACTTTTCACTTGTGTTTTGCTGCTGTTGTGTTACCTTTCCTTTTTTGTGTGTCTCTGTCAGTTCTCTCCTGCAGTAAATGAGCCTTCCTGATCTTCAGTCCCTATGGTGACATTTTCAAACAAGAACTAGGGGGAAATATCAGGATTGGCTGGAAACTCCAAAAATATCATTTGGATTAGTAAAACTCTGGATGCAAAAATCCCTCTAGCAGAGGAAAATTATAATTTCACATTACAAAAATCATTTGGGACTCTCATAATTCTCTACTACCTCCTAATTAGTTAAGGATTTATCACATTTAGTTAATGTTCTTGTACTTAAATATATATGTTAATACACTATGCATGTTTACTATATAAAGTTACATATAACTATATAAAGTTATTATAGAAAGTTACATAACTATATAAAGTTACTATATAAAGTTACATAAAGTTACTATATAAAGTTACATAAAGTTACTATATAAAGTTACACCTCAAAAATCATTTAAGTATAGTTGTCTTCATTGCATGAAAGAAGAAATAATTTTCCTTATTCACTGAAATGTGATACATGCAAGAAGAAAATAAGGAACATAGAATGAACTAGGAAGGAATGTTTGCTTCAGAAGAGATTGAATGGAAAGACAGTTAGAGCTGTGACAAATTGTAAAAATGATGTATGAATAGAATTCAAGGAATTTAAAATAGGTGACACCTACAGGAAAGAAAGAAGCTACCTGTGCTTATAAAGCAAGCGCATATATACAATATTATATAGATAGATAGATAGATAGATATGCCTTAGAACAGATTTCCCAGAGTTTACTACAGAAAGATATTTTAATAAGAATTCCATTCGTAAATGTACTTCAAAACAGTTATTTTGCAACTGGTATGTCTGGATGAAAAAGGACACAAGTAATTTTAAGTTGTTACATTTTATTGGTCACTTTCAAATCCAGTTTTGATGTTCCCTTATGATTTTTACAAAACTTCTCCAAGATGCCTTCCTTTGACAAGGAATGTTCTCCAGAACCATCCCAACTCTGACCTTCTTATGACCTCTGGTGATGGAATTGTTGGAGACGGGATCTGCGGGATCTGCTGGAGCCTCAGTGCAGGGGTTTCTTCAGATGGAGGGTGATTCCACAGAGAGCTCTTGGATCCCAATCTCTTCAGCAGCAAACACAATATTAAATGAAGAATGTCGATCGGCAAGTAGTTCTTCTGCAGGGTCTTCTAGAACACACTCCCTAAGGTAAGGGAGCGGGGGTCTCTTCTATCACAGCCTCCTTAGCTGGTGGAAGCTAGGCCGCCTCTATCATATCCTCCTCAAATGTTGGAGGCTGGGCTTCATCAAGAACCTCCTCTGTAGCCTCCTCCTGAGATAGTAGAGGCTAGGCTTCATCAGGGACCTCCTCTGTAGCCTCCTCCTCCGATGGTGGAGGCTGGGCTTCATCAGGGGCCTCCCCTGTTGCCTCCTCCTCAGATGGTGGAGGCTGGCCTTCATCAGGAGCCTCCTCTGTAGCCTCCTCTTCAGATGGTGGAGGCTGGGCTTCATCAAGAACCTCCTCTGTAGCTTCCTCCTCGGATGGTGGAGGCTGGGCTTCCTCAGGAGCCTCCTCTGTAGCCTCCTCCTCAGATAGTGGAGGCTGGGCTTCCTCAGGAGCCTCCTCTGTAGCCTCCTCCTCGGATGGTGGAGGCTGGGCTTCCTCAGGAGCCTCCTCTGTAGCCTCCTCCTCGGATGGTGGAGGCTGGGCTTCATCAAGAACCTCCTCTGTAGCCTCCTCCTCAGATAGTGGAGGCTGGGCTTCCTCAGGAGCCTCCTCTGTAGCCTC